GCTGTGTTGTAGGGGTGTTTGTGTTGGTGGGGTGGGGGGGTGGTGGGGGGGGGGGGGGGAATTATCCACGCATTACATTTTTGGTGTTGTCAATAAACACATCCCTTCTTGACAAATCCATAAACATATATAAATCTTGTTTTGTTTTTTTGTCCGAATCATTCTGAATGTTCCCGTAAACTCACAGTCATTATCTTTTAATGTTCATGGGGGAAACCATCACCTATCCAGATCCAATATAAATTTATGTTTTAGTTTCCTTATCATATCACACTGTATTCCTTAATGGGTTTTTTTACATCTGTCCGTCTACTTTGATTTGTATATTAGCTCATAAGGTGGAGCTCTGTTGTCACACTTAAGGGAGGATTGTATTATCATAATGTGGCAGCAGTTTGTGTCTGAGTCTGTGATAATGCTTTTTCAAATATTGACTGTCATTAAACAGTTGTCATATTTTCTTAAAGCACTAGTAATCATGATAGTTTGTAGACAGCTGATTTTGAGCTAAAAAAAACATTTATATACTTGTGTTGTTGATTAAAAAAACTCTTTATAAAGAGTTTAAAAAAAATAAAAACATCAACACAAGTATATAAATGTTTGTTTTTTTCCTCAAAGCACTGCAAAGAATGGAGAAAAAAATCAAGAAACTGTTTCATTTTAATAGTTTAGCTCAAAATCAGCTGATGTCTACAAACTATCATGATTATATCTGGAATTATTTTTAAAGTATTTTTTTCTACGTTTGTACATGAGAAACAACAACAAAATATTTTGTAAAATTAAAAAAAAGAAAGATTGGCAAATGTTTTGTTTTATAATCAGAATACATAAATGGTTATTATTAAGATGCAGAGAATAAAAGAATATGAAAAAAGCAACTACAGTTTATCGTAACTTTTTTTTTTTTTTTTACAGCGGCACGGTGGCTCAGTTGGTAGAGATGTTGCCTCTCAGCGAGAAGATCACCAGATCAAATCCCAGCCAAGGGTCCTGTCTGGGTGGTTTGTATGTTCTCTCTGCGTGGGTTTTCTCCGGGTACTCTGGTTTCCTCCACAGAACAGAAACATGCATGTTAGTCTGATTGGTAACTCTAAATAGGGGCAGGCTGTGGCTGAGTGGTTAGAGCAGTTGTCCTCCAATGCAAGAGTTGAGGGTTTGATTCCACCAGCAGTCACATGTTGAAGTGTTCCTGTAGACACTGAACCCCTCGTTGCCTCTGATGTGTGTCCCCTCAGTGTATGAATGTGATCTAAAGCTCTGGTTAGTCTTTGTACAGACCTAGAGTGCTGTATGAATGTGTAAATCAGGGCACAGATTGTAAAGAGCTCTGAGTATCTGATAAGATAGAAAGGTGATTCATACAGTAAGTACAGTCCATTTACCATTTAAATTGTCCCTAGGTGTGAGTGAGAGAGTGCATGGTTGTTTGTCTCTATGTGTCCCTGTGATGGACTGGAGATTTGTCCAGGGTGTCCCCTGCCCCTCGAACAGTGATTGCAGGACATGGGCACCAGTGACCCCCGCAATCCAAAAAGGAAGAGGCAGGTAAAGATGATGGATGTTGTTGTTTTTTTTCTTTTTGGCCATGCTGAAACCAAACTACTGGTGTTCTGCTCCCTCTGCTGGTGGAAACAGTATTAGAGATTACTGGCCTCAATTTGTGATGGTTTGCCTCTGCATCTTTAGAAAGACCAACAGGGTGGGCTGGGTTCTGGTTCATTAAAGTCCATCATCTGGACTTAATTTTTTTCTATGGTTGTACTGAAGGAAAATCTTCACAGACTCTTGTGTTGTTGACTCATCACAGGATGGTCCAGTAGGTGAAGTCCATGGGATTTAACAACTAGATGCCCAGGCCACTGTGTGAGCAGTTTGAGTTCTTTAGATGTACTCACCTGTACTGTAGTAAAAGTATCACAGTAAAGGATATGATACTTTTACTACTACCCCATCCAGTTGAGTAGTTTGAGCTAATGGTTGTCAGCTCAAGGGTTGGGAGTCCAGAAAGTGTTTCCAGTTAACCTGAGTGATTATAGCCTGTGAATTTATACATTTATATAGTGGTATATGCTGGTTAATGTTAAAAAGGAAAACCCTAAAAACTTTGATAAGTTTAATCACAGTTTATGAGGTAATAATCTGAAACAGGATTATACCAGCAGCTCATACAGGAGGATAATTAGACAACAAACATGAAGGCACCTTATTTATTTTGTATTTTTATAGTTCCATATCGTTTTTTTTCCTTCAAACACATTTCTTTTTTCAGTCGTTATGAGAATTGAAGCCCTTTTTTTGTAAGATTATCTAAAATAAAATAAAATAAAATAGTAAATGTAGAGTCCTTGGCATCCAGATTCCCCAGTGAATCAAATCAATGCAATCCCTTCCTGCCTCTGGACACCTCAGCTTAGTTGTTTCTCTTGGCAGAGATCACCCATGAAAAAAAAACTGTGTATGTACAATATATAGACTCTAAGCAGAGCAGGGCTCTTCCATGAAAACTTCCTAAAGGGGTGGCCAGATAGAGG